TTGGCTTCAGTCAATTGCAAGCTACGTCAGTTATGTTTGTCTCAGTTCCTGCGTGCTTTTGGCATTTCACTGGCATCCTCTGCGACTGGGTGGTTGTCTGCACTGTTCGAATTTCCATATCAATATTTGATCGGAAGGGACGGTGACTTGGTTTATAGTAAGAGTGGACTTGTGCAGCATCCATCTCACCCTCTGTTCCAATCCCTTACCCGGGCTCGGTGTCGAGGCAGAGCCAAGAAGGCTGGAGAAGGTTTACGTGGTTTTGCGCGGCTGAAGCCACTTCCAAGTGTACTGCTACACCTTGCTCAGATCCCAGCTGGGTGGGAGGGCCATACCGGGTATAGTAGAAAGGCGCCATTGCAGTCTGACTCTCAGTCCACCGGTTAACGCCTCCCTACAAACATCCACACAGTATACGAATCACCAACACTACGGCCACCAGGATGCCAGGATATCTGGCGGCTTTCCGCAATGTATCCGAGCTTGTCAAAAAAGAAACCCGGTTGTGATGCAGTCTATTCTGACCAAAGCGGGAATCCACTCTCTGAGCTGAGCACCAGGTAACGATTACGGGGTATGCCAGCTTATCTCAGTTGGCTACCTAAACACTGGACACACTAGGCGTTTTTGCATGGGAGAAAGGACGCATCGTTGGCGTCTGCTCAACAATGAAAGGCCGCAAGGTTCCGGAGGCAATGCAGTCGAGCAACGCCTGTCTTGAATAATCCTATCGAGTTGGCATGAGGCTCCATAAGTATCCATGTCTTATGTGATGGCATTGCCTCCGAGCACTCAGAACCCTTTCTTTTTATGCAACATATTATGGCATGTTCCGTATTTATCAGAATTGTAGTTGCACTCAAGTAAGCATTGCTATTTAAAGTCATACTTGAAATTTTACTGTGTTCTATGACCTGTACTGAAAATTACCCCTTTCCGTTCATTCCATTTTTAACAGACTAAAAAGCCGTTAGATTCCGCCCCATACGACCTAGACAAAGTCGGGAGGGAGCTTTTAGGGCACAGCAGCGCATATCTTCAGGAGCTGAGCGTCTTCATCGCTGACCGCGAACACTCAAACATCGTGCGTTATTTTTATAAACTCTTTGCCTTCTTTCACATTTCCTAACATGACAAACTGGGTAGCGCGTTTAGCAACACCGACAAACATATCAGCAACTTTCACCTTTCACTAACTTTGTCCTGACAAGAGGGCGAAAGCTAAGTAATGTTCTTCAGTGCATGTTAGGGAGCTGGTGAGTTTATAAATGGGGAGAAAGGTCTCTGCATGTAGGCGTCTCGCTAGTCTCAGGAGTAGTTTTATTTGTCGTAATACCGACGTTTGTGCTCTTCTTCATTTAATAAGTACGAATACGTTTAACTTCTGGACTTGTGTTCTTTAATGAGGAACTTTGCAGATAAAATGGCACGACCAGGACTTTAAAATGACATTATTAAGGCCCTCCTTTTATGCTGAGTTGTGCGCAATCGGTTAAGCTTGTGATCTCGTGAAAAATATAAGATTCGTTTTTAATTTGGTTGATGGAAAATACATTCCTTTTGAAAAAGATTGAGCCTTGCGCAGCCACGTTCACGTGTACAGTAGACGCCAAAGATCACACAACATTCCGATATATGCGAAAGATTGATAATCTTTCGCTAATCGGTATTGACTCAAGTTGTGGTAATTATTATCGTGTAGTCTATTCTGAAGTCAGTTCAGTCAGGATAGGATGCGGGCTTTTTAACGAACTTCGTTCTGACCACTAGCAAAGCGTATTTATTGTAAAAACTGGCTACTTACGTAGCATGCCTTTTTATTATTTATTTTGACTGCCTTTATAAATTCAAATATATTTTATGGAAACCATGCACGAATTATTTATTGTACTTGTTTGATAGCATATTATGCCCTCTTTAAATTTTATACTCAAAGAAGGGGTAGCTGTCGGTTTTAGAAAAGTTGCCCAATTGCCGAATAATTTTCTAACCTGCTGACTGCTACACTCGAATTCAAGGTTACGAACCTGCGTACTGTGTACATCCTATTTAGGGGGAAGTACGTTTTCGCCTACAGTTTGAGAAAGAAGCCACATAGTTGTCATAAAATATTGCAATAGATGTGGAACATGTTTTATGCAGTATAAGCAACCTTAATAAATTGACGGATACCATGTTTTATGAATAAACACCTCACAATTGTAAGAAAGCTCATAATTAGCAACTTTTTTTAAAACCGAAAGATACCTTTTCTTTAAGTATAAAATTTGAAGGGGGCGTAATTTTCTATCAAACAAATACAGGAAATAATTTTTTCGTGCATTTTTTTCATAAAATATATTTTTGAATTTATAAAGGCAGTCAAAATAGAGGATAAAAAGGCTTACTACCTAAGTAGCCAGTTTTTACAATAGATACGTTTTGTTAGTGGCCAGAACAACACTCGATAAAAGGCCCGCAGCCTATCATGACTGGAATGACTTCAAAATATATTACACAATAATCAGTATCACAACCTGGGTCAAGGCCGTTTAGCGAAAGAGTATCAATCTTTCGCATATGTTGACATTTTGCGTGATCTTTGGCGACTACTGTAAGTATATGGGGATGATTCTGTAACTGCACGCTGTCTGATAGATCCGAAAGAAAACAATCGATTTCATACTAGAGTCTCTTAATTGAATTTTGCACCATAATGAGAACCTGGTAGTTTGTCAACTGTAAAAGGAGTGGGCTTTCCAACCAGGAACACGGAAAATTTAAGAGGAATTCGATAACACTCACAGGATTTGCTTTTTTGCGTTTCTTCATGTAGTATGCCTCGAGCGCTTCTTTTCTCAACGTCTACTTTATCAACCTGTGATTACTTTTTCGTCCTGAAAAGTAACCAGGGATCACGTGCTTGAAGAAACAACGTGTGTTAAAGTACAACGAGTACACCATGAGCTAGAACCACGCTGCATGACTAAGAATAGTATGAATGGGTTTATTTTGGAACCTTTTTGGCCTTGTCATGCGTCCTA